CTTGTTTAGTGGCCTAGGCCTCTTGTCATCGTTTAGCAAAGTAGAATGAACACGGTTTCTTGAGTGAGGCAGCCTTCTTTGTGTGGAGTTTAGGTTTCATATCACACAAGTTGCTGCCGAACGAATAACCGACTTCAGACCGCCAGGTGAACAATAGGATTTGGGCGTCAACAAAATTGAAATAGTGTTTGTGCAGTATTAATTTCTCTAAATTAAGATACGTGCAGCAAACCCTTCCCGGATCTTCTTGAGCTCCTATGGGATAATATCCAGTATGTGAAGAGTCGTCAGTAAAATGCGGAATTATATTTAAAAGGAATTTATGTATTAAAACGGGCGCTAGAGATTGTCTTGGTGTACTGGAGGTGACATTGTAGGCTTTATTTGATTTTCGGTGTTAAAATGCACGGGGATGGAGTTTGTTTCTTCGCCGCTCTAGGACCGCAATTCGGCCTCCAGGCTCTCGAGTGTTTTGCGAACTCGCAGGGCAGAAAGGCGGTTGCTCCAGATGGGAACCCAGCATTCCTGGAGAAGAGTGGAGAGTCGCTGCATTCCAGACCCAGCTTCAAGCCACCGCCTGCTGATCACAGGTCGAATTCCCGTTGTTCCACTCCAGCAGAATGTGGGCTTGCTCCCCTTCAAATCAATAAAGCGATCCTGGAGCCCCCTGCAGGAGGTGCATGTAGTCAAACTGAGTGGCAGCGGTATCACCTGGTCTAATTGAATAGCCTCAAAGGGGAGGTTGCCAAGGACAACAACTTGGAACATTTGTGAGAACGTTGGGTCCACAGGAACCGCATCCTCATATGGAATCTACAAAAGATATAAAATTTTGAAAATGGTAAACACCCAGGCAGTATTACGTACGTAAAAAAGATTTTAAAAAAATTGGAATATTCTTTCTAATTCATCAAATCGGCTTGTAAGTTTGCTAACTGCACTATTATTTTCAATCATTCAGTTCTTAGATTTTATTGTGACAGTCACTACGCCGTTCTTCTAACGAGGCAGATATTTTAGCGACTTTTGAGAGAAGAGAAGTTAGTTGGAAAAAATTCTAATTCAGGGTAGGCGACTGACTGGGGGGGGGGAGGGGGTGCGAGAGAGCTACTGCTCAACATGTCACTTAGTAATACTCTATCAACACAAGAGGTCGACAGTGTCCTTCAACAGTTATTAGGTGGTCTTTTATTACTACACACCGAAATGCTGGGCATAGTATGTACATCATACGGTTTCGAAATAGAACAGAATCTGACGTCAACACTCAAAGTACATCTCAAAACCGTCTTCCCACACGTACAAAATTTATGATAGGAGGGAAAAATCAACTAACTGGTCTTCCTTGATGTCCTTATCACAAGTACAACGGCGACCTAAGAAGTACGGCATCGTGGAAAGTGTCAGACATGACACAAACACTGAACGTGAACTACAACCATCGAAGCAACTATAAAAACAGTTGTGCGAGATGCATTACAGTGAACGGAAGACTGAAGAGTTGTTGAATTACAATGCTCTAAATGGGTATTCAGTACACATGGCTAACCGGTCTAGGAAAGCAAAAAGCAGAAGACAAAGAACGCCCCGGTAGTCATCAATAGCCTTTTTTACACTACTTGGAATTGGAGTTGAACAAAAACCAAGTCATGGGACCTTAAATTCCCTAGCTATGGCAGGAGGCGTCTGTGATCATCTTCAACGATGTGTGCCACTACAATCAATGCAATTAGTTAGTAGGCAATAGGAGATAACTTATAACATGGATTCCCGGACACTCAGCAGCAGTAAAGAAGAGAGACGTTTGATGTGCAGGTCTCGAGTCGCTTGAATCATGGTTCTCCGGCACGCAATCACGTCTCCCCTCCACATTCAGTCGACTGACTTAGCTTGGACAGAGAAATTGGTTACACTAGGCAATACTGCCAAACTGCAGAGTACTTATTACGCAAATAACCAACGGTGATAAAAATTGTGTTATTTTAAGACTCGAATGTGCGCAAGAAAGCTATTATCACACCAAATAAGGGAACTGTTAATATTGATAAGTATGTGGTGGCATAAAAACGGCGTTTTGTAATTACTGGCAGTCATTGGTGGGTTCAAGTGTAAGTTAGAACCGTTACACAGCATGTTCAAAAGACAACACTTTCTCTGTCCACTGGCGCGGCGAGAAGGAGGGGTTACGCGTACTCAAAAAGCCAAATTCAGCGCCAAATCAGCCCTGTTGCGTCACTGAAAGCACGATGTAAAAAGGTATGGTGCTGTTGCTTTTCCAAGCTATAGGATGGTGGCGAACTTAGCCCTTCCAACAGATGGCTAGTGCCATGTTTCCACCGCCGTGAAGCATCTCAGGCATAAAAAGTGCTATCATCTGAAGTCCCTTAAAAATTAACTTGCAGTGTTCAGTGTTTGTAGAGTTTGTCAGCCGAGTTGCGTCAGCGACCATGTCGTTGACGTTTCAAAATCAAATGTCTGGCTTAAGACTTCGAATTACGTCCTTTTTCGATCACAAAATAGCTGGTCACGTTAGCAGAGGCCTGGAGCAAGAAGAATCTTCCAGTCGCGACCACGAATTCAGACCGCCCATTTAGCCAGGATTGGTTGACTGGCAATAAAAATTTAAAGCTATAATCCTTGTGCCAAGAAAAACAATTAACTTTCAGGTACAAAAGGCAAAGAATCTTTTATAGAAAGTTGTTTGAGGAAACTTAATCCATACTACGTATTGAAAAACTAGCGTGAAGAGGAGACTTGGCGGCGTTAAATACGCTCGGAGGCGAAAGGCTAAGTCACTGCAAACAACGGGCGCGGATGTAGTTTGCCTGCCAGCCTAAATATAAGCCGCCCGGCGCGTTCAAATTTTGCAGACAGAGGGACGCCTTCGGATATCAATGGATACCGATCCGGCAAACTGGTGATCTATATAAAGGTCACAAGTCATAGCGGTATCATCTGATGACGAATGTTGCTGGCCACTCACAAATGCTCCGCCTGTCGCCTTACGGTCACGCCCATAAATCAGGTGGAACCATGGGCCTAACCTATACCATAAGCTCCCGAACCCCCTAGAAAATCCACGATATTATTGGGTGAATACTGGGGCTGGCGAAACCAGCATTGATGTCAGTCAAGAAAATAAGGTACAAAGACTTACCTGGTATTCCTCAACATTGCTCGTTGCTACACTAAGACCCTCTGTCCTTCTGAAAATTTCCCATAACACTAATCCTAGAGCGTAGATGTCAGCAGCTTGGTAAATTCTGAGAGGAAGAAACGGATGTTGACACTCAGTAACCTCCGATATTTCCAGCCCTTCCTCACGCTCTTCGTAATCCAATCCCTTGGAAGTATGAAAAGTGGTCAGTAGAAGAGCCAAGTAAAGCAGTTCCGGGGCCATGTAACGCTTTGTCCCTGCAAGGGGCCCAGCCGAAGGCGGTCCAGCAGAGGCATAGCGTTTAAACAAAAGGCTCTCTGAAATGCCTTC